AGGAAGTTCACTATAATTTCTGTAGTCATTTTAAGTAATTTAAATAATTAAAGTATTTTAATTCCTCTAAAGTAAATGACAATTTTTAAGAAAACAAAGATATCTATTATGAATAAATCCAAAACTTAAATCTGAATTAAATGAAATTTTTAAACTAATATAAACAGCATATACTGTACATATTCAAATAAACATATATATATATATATGCGGAAACATTCGATTTGTAACAATTTGAAACGTTATAAATCAATTCAAATTTTAATTATATATACAGCTAAAGCCATATATATAGATATATATAATAGTCCTATTCTGTAGCAGTATAATATATATAATAAGACGACAACAGTATTTAGGAACAATTAATATTATCGGCAATTGATTAATGATAAATAGCTAATGTATTTGTAAATTGCTTGCAGAAAGTAACTAAAAAGATTCAAATTTATATCAGAAAATAGAATGTAAATAATCTTTGCTAAAACATTCAATAAAAATTTTAATAAATCTCCAGATATCGAATTTTGACAATTTAAAATTGAATATCTACATATCTTTTATATATCTGAATCAATTGTATATAATGTATATATAAAAGTATATAACTTATATAGGCCTATATATATTGAAGTGAAATATCTGCAAAGAAGACTTGTATAAATTTATAAAGTTTATTTATATATTAATTTAAGTGTATGAAATTTTGAAAATCCAAGCACAAAGAGCTCCCTTGCTGGAAATTTTAAGATTCCAAATGCGCAAATAACATTTTAATTGATATTTTAATATTTACAAAACTATCAAGAGATGTTATAATAATATAAAAATAGTTTATATTAGTTGACAAGAAAAGAAATGCACAAAACATCACGATGTATATAGCATTAGAAATTATAGGAGGAATTGTAAAATGGTCTTGCAGTTTTGCCATTGTAATATTTTCAGTCATATAAGAGCACATAAGAATTCCATTCCATCATCAGTAAAAATCTTCGATCTAGAAGCGGATAGATAAAACGAAGTTTGTCTTTTATATCATTTCATCCCGAAAAAAGCAGCTAAGAATATATGTGATTGAAAGAACTCTAGAATAACAAGTATTTGAGTATGTTCTCTCTCTCTATTTCTTTTTTTTTGTTTAAATGAAGAATGTAATTGTTTTTAAATCTTATTTTAACATTTTGAATTATTAAATTCCGAAGAACAATTTCCAAATTTATCGCAAAAGATACATTTGTCAGGACAATCAAATAAATATACAATTATTAATCTAGTTAATTCTTTTTAATCTAATTTTCTTTTAAAGTAATGGTGATAATTAGACTCCTATTCAATATTGAAAATTAGCATGAATTTTAAATTAATTTAGCCGGAATCATTCTAGATCAAAGCAACTTTAGTATTAAAGTATAAGTAAATTAGAATGTAAATTACTCTCATTCTGTATATTCGCTTATATAAGATAGGCGAAATAAAACGATAGTAATTTCTTTGATCCAGATATCTGAAAAATTTTATTAAATGCTGAAAAATTACAAATTAAAAATAAATCGATTTTTACAGAATATAAATGATCTTTTATGAACGTAAGAGAAGTAAAGTTTAAATTATGATTTAAAAAATAAAATAAAATATAAAAACATTGAAGGAAAAAGAATCTTATTATAATTTTCTTTCATTTACTATCATGATCAGTGTGTTAGAGTATGATTAGTATTATTACATTTACATAATGTTTTTTGAGTAATAAATTTAACTTGTAAGATTGTATAAAATAATGAATGACTAAAATACAAAAGTAATATCAAATTAAATAAATTATAAAAATAATTAATGATAAGTCTATCTATTAATAAATATTAGAATTTTTCACTTAAATGCTTTTATAATTTATTTATGAATTTATAATTTTTTGTTGATACATCTCTCATGAGCATTGAAAGTTCAAGACGTCTCTTCATAAAAAAA